CACGAAATGGGCGTGGCACATCGAGATCTCAAGCCTGAGAACCTGCTCCTCACCACGCACGGGTCCATCAAAATTACAGACTTTGGCAACGGCGAGTGCTTCCGCATGGCCTGGGAGAAGGAGGCGCACATGACGGCTGGTCTTTGTGGCTCAGCTCCCTACATTGCCCCAGAAGAGTACGTTGACAAGGAGTTTGATCCCCGTGCTGTTGACGTTTGGGCGTGTGGTATCATCTACATGGCCATGAGGACGGGTCGTCACCTTTGGCGTGTCGCTCAAAAGGGCGAAGACGAGTTCTTTGACCGCTATCTTGAGGACCGCAAAGAGGAAGAGGGTTATCGACCCATTGAGGTTTTGCGAAGAGTGAGTTCAAATCTGCCCTTGTTTAGATACAACACTGACAATTCTCAGCGACAATGTCGTAACGTCATCTACTCGATCCTCGATCCTATACCTGCCCGTCGCCTCACCGCGCACCAGGTGCTCGCCTCTGAATGGGTGTCCGAGGCCAAAGTCTGCCGCGCAGGCAACGAAGGCTTCTAGGCCGGTCCTTCGTATTCTTAGCCTTTGACTCTTCCGCCATATGTCTGGGATGTTTGCGTTCGTTTCTTGACTTGGATTTCTCTTTTTTTTTTGGACATACCCCCTTTTACGCCCCGATGCCAACCAGCATAGCGGGATTTTGGGCATCGGCAACTTCTTCTTGCACTCTCGTATGGCGTTTTCTCCTCTCGGCATCAACGGACCACCATAACGATACACATGAGTACTAGATGACGACGGCGTAAGACGTTGGAGAGTGATGGTGGTTTGGATGACATGTATGGCTTGGGTGGCTTGGATTGAGTGTAGACCTTCGCTCGCTTGTTAATGGGTACTGGCGGACTGTATCATGGCTGCAGTTGGGAGGGGCGGCCGGTTATGAAATTCTATACGAACAGCACGCATTTTTGTATATGAGCGTGCCGCGTGCCACGCTATTGAGCCATGATCCTTCGTACATTTATTTTTCAACCATGCATGAAGGCTCAGACCGTACATCTAGGTGTACATGAATTGAAGACTCTGTCGCTACACTGAAGAACGAGTACATGTCAAAAAGCCACGAGTCAAGCATCATAGCTATCCTTCCCTATCTCTTGGCAACGTCATCGCTTAGACGACAGATGCGCCTCGCGATTCCACTAGGGCAAGCGGTGAAACAACCAAACGTGTCTTGACGAACGAACACCCGTTCACGCGCCTGCCAACCCCAGTCACTTCCTCCTGACTACCCCATGTTTCTTCTCGACAACACTGGGCAGCTCGAAGAAATGCAACCAAGCAATGCGCACGACTGGCACTCCGCTCCGTAACTGGACTCTTCTCCTGCTGCTATGCAGCGTCTCCGCGTCCGCCCTCGCTGAGGCAGCGAATGACGCAGCGAACGGCGAATCGAGCGCTACTGCACATGAAGGTGCCACGCCGCAGCATACATCCACTCCCGCGTCTTCGCCCACGTATTCGCCGTCACCGTCGTCCGTTCGGAGGTATACCAGCAGCGGAAGCACATGCCCATACCGCACAATAAACTACATCACGCACACGCTCCCACAGCAATGCGCAAAGACGAGCTGGTCGGCGCCAGGCGAGGCAATCGCGACCGCTGGCACAGGTGCTGAGGAAGGAGCCATAGCTGGTCTACAGACTCCCACGCCCGCGGCAGGAAACGGTTCCGAGGGCAACACAGGAGTGGACAACGGGGCTACTTCAGTAGCGACGCCTGAGGTCGACTCGACTGCTGCAACTACGAATGCTGCAAGCACCGCCGAACCGGAGCTCGACTTGGAGGCAGACTCACCTTTCGACAATGCCAACTTCCTTTCCTTTGAGGAATGGAAGAAGAGGAACTTGGCGGCTGTCGGTCAGTCGCCTGAAAACGTCGGCCAGGGACGAGCAGCAGGCACGAACCAACCTGCTAGGCGACGACCCGTCAACGTAAACGCCCTCGACTCGCTTGGCGATGAAGGCGAGATATCCATCGACTTTAGTGGATTTGGGTCTCCAGAGGACGAAAATGTAGCAAACAGTATCCAGCACGGCAAGCAGAGCGCTGGAGCCTCAAAAGCCGCGGACGGGGAAGGCAAGGTCGCACCAAGTTCTTGGGCGCTGAGCAAAGACGCAGGCAAGACGTGCAAGGAGCGCTTCAACTTTGCCTCGTTTGACTGCGCAGCGACGGTATTGAAGACGAACAAGCAGGCCAAGAGCTCCTCTTCTATCCTTGTGGAGAACAAGGACAGCTACATGTTGAATATATGTTCGGCAGACAACAAGTTTCTTATCGTAGAGCTCTGCGACGATATCCTCGTCGACACCATTGTCCTCGCAAACTACGAGTTCTTCTCCTCCATGTTTCGCCATTTCAGAGTCAGCGTCTCTGATCGGTATCCGGTGAAATTGGAAAAGTGGCGTACGCTGGGTACGTTTGAAGCGCGTAATTCGAGGGACATTCAGCCGTTTCTGATTACGGAGCCGCAGATTTGGGCGAGGTATCTGAGGGTAGAGTTTCTGACGCAGTTTGGAAATGAGTACTATTGTCCTCTCAGTGTGTTGAGGGTGCATGGTACGACGATGATGGAGCAGTTTAGACAGGAAGAGGAGGAGGCAAGGGGTATTGATGACGACGACGATCTCGAGGCAGATGGCGTCGAGGTTAAGAAGCCGGCTGCGGACAGCGGTCCTTTGTCACCAGAGGAGATACCGATTGAAGCAGCAAAGGATTTTGGCATCGACGACGCCAACGAGGACGTCTCTTCGGAGGCTAATTCGGGGCCGTCGTCGTCTGAAAGCTCTCCTGCGCCAACGGTCACAGCAGAGCCGGCGGACGAATCGCCTCAGAATCAGCCCGTGCCAGAGTCGACGACTACATCACCTCTATCTGGGCCGAGCGCCTACGGAGCCGGGAGCGAGAACATCACAGCTTACGGAGAGCCGAAATCATCCGATACCCCTCCACCAAAACCGACAGATGGCACGTCGCAGACCGAGAGCTCTTCATCCGACGCCTCCACGAACAACTCCTCAGACTCCGTATCTCGCGTTGACACCGCTACAGCGCCAATAGACAACGCCACCGCTTCGTCTTCAGGTACTCCAGCAGCCAAAGCATCAAGCAACAGCACCGTTGCTAGTCCGCCTTCGCAGGGCCGCGGCTCCTCCACCCAGCCCAATGCGCCTGCGCCTTCGACCCAAGAATCCTTTTTCAAATCGATCCACAAGCGCCTTCAATACCTCGAGGCTAATAGCACGCTCTCGCTCCAATACATCGAAGAGCAGTCCCGCGCTCTCCGCGATGCCTTTGTCAAGGTGGAAAAAAGGCAACTGGCCAAGACGGAGAAGTTTCTAGATCACCTCAACAGCACGGTCATGTTGGAGCTGAAGAGCTTTAGGAACATGTACGATCAGCTCTGGCAGAGTACAGTCATCGAGCTGGAGAGTATGAAGGAGAGGCAGCAGAGTGAGATGGGGGAGATTGGTACGAGGTTGACTTTATTGGCGGATGAACTTGTTTGGCAGAAGAGAATGGCCGTTGTGCAAAGTACGCTGCTTCTTCTCTGTCTGGGCTTGGTGCTGTTTGTTCGCAGTGGGACACTGGGTGGTGGTGGTGGTGGCGGCGGTGGCAACGACATGCCCATTGTACAGCAGCTCGGCAGCAAGTATAGCAGTTTCTTCGAGTCGAGCCCGCCGCGCAGAATGTCCGAGGCGGAGGGCATGAGCAGGCAGCGCAGGACGTTTCGGAACATGTGGCGCAGTGGTGAGGCAAGTGGGCATTTGAGCGATCATCATGATCACCGGAGGGATAGCGATGGTGGCGTCGGGCGTGGTAGGGACGGTAGTGATACGGAGACGGAGGGACTGCGTAGTCCGGTTCGGATTCAGTATAGTCCGCCTACGCCTACGAGTCCTGCGTCGCCGGATATACACGCTTCTCGACATCTCCACCGTCATCGTAGGGAAGATGCGGAGGGAGAACCGTCTTCTAGTCCCCCGTCGTTTCATTCTATTCGCGCAAATGGCATCCATGCCAACTCAGCCCGGGTCAATGACGTCGACGATGATGATGACCAGAATGAACCGGAAACACCAATAACAACAACTACTACTACTACAGCAGAAGACCAAGCCACCAGAATTCAGGTCCTGGAAACTCAATCTGGTCCCGCAACGCCAAATGGAACAAGGGATTCACGACCGAGTTGGGAAGAAGTGGAACGAGCGGTCGATTTGTTGAAGGCGGAGGAGGAGGAACAACAACAGCAGCAAAATCAACAGCAGCAAAATCAACAGCAGCAAAATCAACAGCAACAGCAGCAGCAGCAGCAGCAAGGGCAGAAGAATCATGCCTTTGCTCCGTCGCCGCCGAATTCGCCGGGTGGGTCGCCGGGGAAGAAAAAGAGGAGGAAGAGGGAGAAGGGTGGGGGGAAGGCGGTGGCGGAGATGAAGAGTCCGCTTAGACGTAGTTATAGTAGTTTTGATAGGGGGTGTGGGGAGTGAGTAGGGGGGGTTGGGGGGTTGTGGTAGGGCGTTTTCGGGGTGGTAGGGCTGTGGGATGTATTGCGTATAGCGTTAGCAAGAGCGTCGTGGTTTACGGATATGGCAACCATGAACATCTTCAATTTTCCACCGCAAAATCTTGGGCGTCATTGAATCTCCGTGTAGTCTTCGTATCAAAACTGCTTCTAAACTGAGCGATTTGATAAAAGCTGTAGATTGCGGTTTCAATCTTTGTCCTCCTGATACTATCCTACATCTCCCTCTACATCTTGTTCGCACCGCACTATCTCCCATTCGAGTGATTTCTGTTATCGTTCTCAAGACAGGAATGTGCTCTTTACTACTCAACTTGTCTGCCGTCTTTCATGTCTGCAAACACGACTCCCCCTAGGCGCCTTCACATGGACCCTTTCACGCATATTGTTGATCCTCTTTCCCAATCCGGTAGGTTTGTGCAGGAGTGTCGATTACAGTACGCTCTTGCGATGGGCGCGCAGGGCGACCATGGCGACTACGGTTGCTAGAGCTACCGTGGCGATCAGGAAAACTGGGGCGAGGATGGCGACCATGGCGAATATGGCGAATCGAGCGAACGGGGCGCACAGCGCGAGTATGGCTGCCGGCGCTGTGAGGGGACGTCCGTGGCGAAAAGGGCCCTGGCTGTGATCGACACTTTTACGGGACTTTCCTGATCGGGAAGTGTTCTATCTGAACTATCGGTCACGGTGCTTTCTCTAACACTACAACGTGTCTTTGGATTATTGCAAACATGGAGTATGCCCTATTCTTCTAACAGATAGTTGGCCTTGTGATGCTAGTTCCCAAGAGGTACCTTGGTAGGTTCTGATTAATGTACACAATGTAGTTCCTGGGGGGTTTTTTGTTCACTCTCTACTATGACCTCGGCTTCTATGACTTGCTCATCGATCTACAATGAAGCAAAAGAAGCGCTGGTCAGATATCGTCAAATGACGCAGTCCCGATAAAGCCGTCGTTTGCTTTGGTGTTTCCAACCAGCCTACTACCCGTCTAAAACTTCGCGATTTCCTTCGTCCCTTCACTCCACGTAACTTTCGTCCTTTTCAGACGTGATGTATCTTCATGAGGCGAATTTCGACTCAAGTGAGGATTATAGCAATTCTCATCATCCTACCCACACCTGCTGCTTGCTGAGACATTGGAATCTTTGTCATGCAAGTTCCAAAGGTGTGGATTGCGGGATCTTTGATAACGCTGCAACATGTTGCCTGAAAGTCTGTGGGGCCAAATCAATCCCTTGTCCACGCTAAGCATGCAGTGCAGCTACAATGGCACGGTTGACATCAGCTTCAATCTCAACGTCGGCTTTACTTCTTCCTTTCGAGTTTACCAGCGAACACATAGGTGCCCGCGCACCTCTCGAGCTTGTCTGCTCCGCACACGCCATCTTGCTCGAATGTTGGAGGTGCATCAGTCCGAGCAGGTCGGTTGTCAGTATCGTAGTTGCCACCCCCGCCATGCGCCTGTTGCAGCGTCAAGGCAATGACAGCTTCCGGCTTGTCTATCGTGTTGACGAGCAGATACCGCCTTACGCGATCCTTTCGCAAACCTGGGGAAATGAAGAGGACGAAGTTACCTTCAAAGACGTGGTTGATGGAACATACAAAAAGAGAAAAGGTTATCGGAAACTCCAGTTTTGTGCGAAACAGGCTGCTGAAGATGGTCTAGACTTCTTCTGGATAGACACATGTTGTATCGATAAATCTAGCAGCGCAGAGCTTCAGGAAGCTATTGGCTCCATGTTTCGTTGGTACAAGGATTCGGCAAAATGCTACGTATATCTTACGGATGTGTCGACGAAGTTCTTTGACTACCTGGATCAATTCCCAGAGAGCAAGTGGTTTACTAGGGGATGGACACTTCAGGAACTCCTTGCGCCAAAGGACGTTGAGTTCTATACTGCAGAAGCGATCTCGATCGGACGAAAGTCAGAGCTGGTTCATACGATCGCTGATACCACTGGCATTTCTACGGAAGCTCTACAGGGCACACCACTATCGCACTTTAGCATCGACCAAAGGATGAAGTGGGCAGAGGGACGGAAGACAACCCGCCAAGAAGATCTGGCCTATTCACTGCTAGGTATATTTGACATACAAATGTCGCCCTTCTATGGAGAAGGCAGGGAAAAAGCTTTCGAGCGACTGAAGAAAAAGATAAGAAAGTCTCAAGGAACTGTTGGCTCAGTGACCCAGGAACCAGAACTTGTCGCACTTCGGTCTCACCACTTCGAATTCGTCTCGCATAGCCCCACAATGCTGCACGAGACGGACGCTCAATACAGCCTCCTAATGTGCAATGACTCTAACGAGATCGGAAAGCCAGATCTATGTGCAGTGAAGAGAGGTGGTACCAACTTTCGAAACCTCGAAGTCAACCTCCTCTACGGAGCTTACAACTACCAAAACTTCGCCCTTCGAATCGCGACACCGAATTTTACACTATTGCGTGAGAATTGGATCATGACTGAACAATCCAGTGCAGGACCAATGGATTTCTTCCTCGCAGATTGGAGCGGTGATGGTACGTTAGATCTCGTAATGATCAAGAAGTTCTTCACTAGTACATCGAGTACTGAGGTTCGAACATTTTCTGGAACCGACAAGTGCCGAAAAATCTTATTTCAAGGCGGTACAAAACTCGAGGAAACAGATGACACATGGGCTTTTGGCATGGGAAAATGGGGTCAGGGCAAAAGACCGGACTTGATTGCCATCAAAAAGTCCAACACGGCAAGCAAGACCACTGAAGTGTACATTTTGGATGGGGATGATCACTTCAGAACCGTCAAACTGCACACTCAGACTGCCTTGCATGAGACGGATTTAATAGTTTCTAAATTAGCTATGTTAGCTTGGGAAATAGTCTTGGCAAAAGTTCGGCACCTGCTTGGGTTCGGCACTCGCTTGTGGAGTACATTACTAAAGACTTAAATGTTGAGATAAATTTTAATAGAAATATACTGCTTAAAGTGATAATACACCTGCTATAAACATATACTATATAATTTTGATGGTATACTCCCGGAGTCCGTCATAAACCTCGTACATCGACTCACTTAGTCCCCTTGAAGGCCCTAGAATTGTCTTGTGGTCGCTTGGCTCCTCAGCGGTGAACATGCCCAGTCGAAAGAACTCTCCTCTTGCACGACAGGTTGGGGAAAGGATTAGGCCGTGGAGCCAAAACAAACCATAGACCTCATCTTCGTCAGATCGGATCGGCATGAGGTACACATCGCTATAAAGATTGAGACCGTCGCCGATTTTGATGCAGAATTCTCCGGGTGACTCTTGGACCAGAGAACACCATCCCTTCTTCCTGGTTGGCCTTTGCCAAGTCTCACTCATGTCAGGATGAAAATTCAGTTCTACGACAGTGGAGTCAATTACCCACTGTCGATGCGTAATACTGAAGTCCCCATTTGAGACAGAGGCTCTCTTTAAAGGCCCCTTGACTCTTATGTATTCTTCAGCAACCTGCATAGGGCCAATGGGAATGGAAAGAATAGTTTGTGTTTCAACAAGTGAGGCATGTAAGACCTCATCCTCATTGCCATAGATATTCCTTGTAGCATCGAAAAAGTCGACAGGTGCATCAAGAGAAGCCCAAGACCATGAAGGCGCCCTAGACTCAACGGGCAAGCCGGTGATTTCGCATTCGTGCGACACTTTCCACAAGAGCTGTCGTGGCAAGGAGTTCTTCCATAAACCGGCCAGGTACTCGTCTTGAAGCAGAGTCTGAAACCTTACGGCTAGGCCAGATATTGCAATGAGTTTGTCACTTTTGTGAGTCAAACCCCCTCGAGAATAAATTTGGACAATGTCTTTCCAGAGTCCGTAGAAGTGCTCATTTCTGAGCGGTGTGTTCGGCTCCCTGTCTACGGGAATAGAGTACTTTGTTGGTGGAACGTACATGGAATGATGGAAGCCCGCCGGAAAAACCTCATTTGCAGTCATCGACGGACATTCCCAAAAGATCTGAGTAGTCCCAAAGTGTAAGACTCTTGGGGAGAGTATGCGTTCTTGAACTACCCAACACCGGCGGTTTAGAGGAGAGTCCTCAATCTCGTTGTCCCAGATTTTGCTGCAAAGATAGTAATGCCCCTTCCGTGGTGTATTGAGAATAGGCCAAGGCTGATCCCAATTGGCGAACACTTTGTATGGCAAGAGAAAATTCGGATTCCTGGCACGGAAAAACCCCATGCGTCCATCGGAAACACTCGTCGCGGCGATGTTCAGGATGGCGTTTTGGTAGTAAGTGCCCATTTGCTCGGCCTCGCGTCTCCAATCTTCATCGAAGTCCTGCACAATGCACAATGAATCGATCCAAACATACTTGAACCCCAGCTTACGAGTAACGAATATGGCATCCAAGAAGGTTTTAGGGAGAAGGTCTAGTGGCAGTCCCCGTTTGAGGATCTGGATGTTCTTGGTCGAGAGTGAAAATATCGGGTATTTGCCCCAGCAGTGACTCAATGTTACGTATTCTGCATTATGCGGTATATCTCCTCTTTCACAGAGCCTCGGCCAGTCACCTGATGCAGGCTCACCACAGTTAACAAGTCTTGTGGGAATTTGGTATGCATCGGGGAAGCCCTTTTTGCAATTCTGATGCTTCCCACTACGGCATTGGTTCAGCCAGTTGCGAGCGACTTCCAGGCAGGCTTCCTGTTCTGTGCTGGAAGAAAATGGGGCTTCGCTCAGAGTGGGCTCAATATCTACAAGAATTAGCGCGCGTATCACTGCGAATAAATGACTTCTACGCACCACTAGCTCTGAGAAGCTCTAACTTTAAAACCTCCTTCCAACCTGTCAACGTTGATTCTTTGTCCTCATAGCCAAATGTGAGGTATTCGTTACCCCAGTCCACTGTTCCAAGCCTGTAACAGAGCCTCCTGGGAAGAAGAACGTTGTCAGAATCGTTCACTGAGTCTGTCTTCAAGGAAGCCTGTTGCTTATTGATCTCTTGCAAAAGTAGCGTGCAGATATAACATCCTAAATCTTTCGCGATTTGGAGTTCGCTTTCACTCTCATAATGAGTGTATGTTGGTTTTCCTAGATCCTCGACATCGCAATCGGTCTGGAAAATGCAATGGCAAGTATTGCAAAGGCTGCGACTCATAGGAGAATGGCTCCTGTTCAGATCATGAACGTTTCGGGCTGTTCTTGTCAAAGGTAAGCGTGAGAAGTCCTGATCCCGACCGACGAGTGTGATGTGTTGATGAGGAGGTTGAGGAGTCCGTAACCCTATCACTGTCTCCTGGTCGAACTTGTATTCTCTTTCCACTTTCCTCGATTTCTTCTTTCTTCTTTCTGCCTGTTTACCCATGATATGAGATGTCTTTGTATGGAGGCATCTTCGCCTCAGAAAGAAGTAAGCGAAAGTAGCGATTGTAGTTGGCGCTAGCAGAGGAGCACGTAAAAATTGAAGATAGCACAGAACACCTTGCTTTACAATGTTGTCTGCGCGGAGGTAGGGAGTTGTGAGTTTGATGGACAGTACGGTGTGTTAACTTCGTCTATTGATGGTTGTTGCCTGGACATAGCCACCTCCACTAAGCTATGCTGCCGAGGTTGTGGCGTTCCCTGGCTCGGCCATGATTCGTGCTCAATCCTTTCCATGACACGAGCAGAACATCAATTTCCTACTGTGAAACATGTAAATCTCTTCTGTGATAACGCATTCTATCACCGAGAGCGACAAACCACCAAAAGCGTCAGAATCTCTTACCATTATCAACATTATTTTACGAATCGTCGTTTCCATCACTATCAAATAATAGGCCTGCGTACGTTATTCTTACATCTGGTCCTAGAGGCTCTTCTGTATCCTTCTGCATGTTCAAGCGTTTGCACCTAGCCTCCCTACAGTTTCTACATCGCCGTAGAGTTAGTTAAGCTGTGATGGGCTGGAGCCTAGTTAGTGAATCCTCGATGATATCTCGGTCTACTCGTAGAATCTGGGTGCTACCTCGAACATCTGGATTCTCCGCGGACCGCCTGAACGACGTTCAGACGACAGCTGCAGGACCTAGAGGCTGCCTCGTGCACCTAGACCTTACCGGCCCAATTGTTACCTAGGTAACTAGCTTGTATATGGTCAGCTACGTAGCTTAGGAGCTTAGCTCTCTATCAAATTCAACCTTAGTATACCTGTGCGATAGCTCCTCGAGCGTAGCCTCTTACAGTATGCAAACTTATACTATTAGCATACTACGCTAGCTAGAAGAATTAATCTATAGTTTTATAACTAGACTTTATCTAAATATTTGTAAGTGCCTAAGAGCGAGTTATATCTTTAATACAGCGTGTGTCAGGCCTAGCTGATGATATATACTACCCTGCACCATGATCAGTAGTTCACTGATCATACGTACCTTTTTGGTTGCATAGCGTAGTAGTGCAGGGCTGCGTTCTGACAGCGTGTCTATAGGTTAATTAGAAGATAATAGAAGTTGTTAACTAAAGCCTAGCTGACAGGACACTTATGTTCTGCTAGCGCAAAAGTCGCAAGTTGATAAAGACCGTTATCTTTAGTAAGAACCTTTTTAACAGTTATCTGTGCAGCTATTAGCGTGAAAGGGACTTCCTTTCGGCTTAATTTTATCTTAAGAATAAAACACTCTTTGCTTCTTCGCAGTCCTGACATTTCTATCCTAACATGTTAGTGTCGAACTAAATGATATGGAGACGTAGCATCTTACGAAGTTATCTTTCACGCTAGGAATCGCAGTGCACTCAGCTCACAGTAGAGGCTGAGTTCCAAGTGTTTCCGGTCAACACATGGGCTTACTATTGGTTAAATCCCTGCCGTCGCTCATGCACACAACCACTTGTGGAAGGACCACGACCGCTCGTCCGCGCTAAAAGTTGCAGTGCATATGTCATCGCGCCTGGGCATATTCGGTTAAATCACCATTTGAGGTAGACTCTCATGGCCACTCTACATCTGTCAATTCAGCCTTGCCTATCTACCGTTGCCCCTCTGGCTGCTCTACTACATGAATAATTGCATTGCAGAGCCCTGTCCTCTTGTCTTTCGTCCTACGCGACCATCACACTGTTAGCCTCCGATCACGTGCATAGTTCCCCAATCCATATCCCTACTTTCATAAACCAAAAGGGACCACTCAAAGTTTGCTAACAGTAACTTTTATATTCTATGCAACCAATACCGGTATATCATCCCAATGTCAGATACCAAAAAAACGCCAATCATGCATTCATAATCTCTCCCATTTCCCCACCTCCACTCTTCCATCACATCAACCATCTTCCTCCACACACTCTCTCAGTAGTCCCTTCAATCAATCAACATACTCACTCCTCACCTTCTTCGCCCTCCTCTTGTTCGCCTTGAAATGCTTCTTACCACTCATCATCTGCATCTCCTTAGGATCCACATCCTTCTCCAACGCCGCCATCATCTTCGCCTTCCTGCCACTCAGCTCCTTCCCTTGCTCACTATACTTGTAGTGGAACGGCTGGTTAACCCTGCCCATCCCTTGTCCAGGGCCAAAAAACCGTTTGTCCATGCGCTGCGTCTTTGCACCTTGGACGGGTACACCACCGCCGTCGAGCTCGTCGTCCATGAGTGACATGTCGTCGGCCTCGGGACCAGCGAGGGAATGGTTACCAGGGAGGTTGGCGAGAGGGTGGTGGCGGCGCTTGGCGGGGAGGTGGTTTACGTCGTAGAGTTCGCGGTTGAAGTGCTTGGGGTCTAGCGGGGGATCGGTAGGTGGGGGGTGGCAGAAGAGAATCTTGCCCTTGACGTAGTCCTTGAGGATGTAGCGTGCAGCTCGTGACTCATCTGGTTGACCGAGACCTTGTGTGGAGAAACCTCGGGCAATGGCGTAGGCGCGGAGGACTTCGTCAGAGGTCAGAATGCCGGTTCCACCTTCTTCGATTGGTCGGGGGTGGATCTTCATTCCGTAGAGTGCCTCAAGGAAAGGTTGTGGGATGCGGCGTGCAACAAGACCGGCGGGACCAGTGTACTCGCGGAGTTGGTCGATTGGCAATACACCAGCACATACGAGTTCGGCTTTGGTTGTTGCAAAGTTAGGGAACACTAGACCAGGGCAATCACACAGGACAACCTTTTCGCTGAGATGGATGGTTTGGAAGTGCTTGGTCTTTCCGGGTGTGGCGGACACAGACACCTTCTTCGCACCGATCAAGGCGTTGATGGTGGACGACTTTCCGACGTTGGGGTAACCGACCAGACCAATTGATGTCTTTCGCGGCTCGCCATTGGGTCCGGTGTCAACATCGGGCGCATGTTGGAGGAAGAGGGCTTCGAGATCCTCGGTTGTCAGTATCCGTGTGCGCTCGTCGCCATCAGCCTCTGATCGGCTTGCGCCGGGTACATCGACGGTCTCTTCGTCCACCCACTGTTCCTTCTCCTCTTGCTTGTCTTGCAAGTTGATCTTTTTGGCTTCCTTGGCAAGCGCATCGGCCTCTTCTTCTGACTCATCTCCCATACCATCGTCGGTCAGCAACTCATCCGAGTCGACATCATCGTCCGACTCATCGTCCTCCAAAAGTCCAGCGCGGGCTTCGTTGATCTCTTTGGCGAGTTCAGCCGAGAAGAACTTGTAGTTGATGCCCGCTTCGGTAAAGTAATCGGCCCAGGCCTTTCGCTGCTCCAGCGTCATCATATCGGCCTTGTTGACCAGCAACAGGTTGTTCTTCTTGGGATCCACCTCCTTGACATAGTCTTCCAAGTCCTCGGATCGGAACATGAGCGGGTTTCGAGCGTCGACAATCTGCACAATCAGATCCGACCGCTCGATAACTCGCCACAACTGCCTCCAAACCTCGAGATTGCGCTCAAAGGGTGTCAGGAGGAGGTCGTTGTTCTCTTGTAGCTCAGCCAAGCCTCTCCGCCATTGTAGTAGGGACGCCCTCTCCTTCTCATCCAGCTCTTGCGGCGTAGTGTCCTTGTCCCAACGAGGCCGCCTCGGTACAGTCAATCTGTTCTTGTTCTCCTTGTGCCTCTTTGTGGCATTGCGCTCCTCCAGTGGCGAGAGAAGGTATGGGTTCTTCTGGTCCTTGTGAATGATCTTGACGTTGTTCATCTTCTCGGCGGTGAAGTCGGTTCCAGCCAACTCTGCAGTGGAAAGGAAGTCGTCGAGGGCGCCTTGTTCGGTGACGGACCGCATCTTCATGTACGACGCTTCCTTCTTCTCGTTCGTGATGTACTGTGAGTGTTAGTATGAGTCTTATTGTGTGTTCGACGAGACGCCTCTCAAGACACTGCGCATTGTGCCTACAGGTGCGCAGATGTTTGACCGCATAGATAACATACCTTTTCGCCATTCTGACCTGTTCGCTCGATACCCGCATTGAAGTTGCCCTTTCGCAGATTATCGCCCTTTCCCTTTGCGAACCTATCGTTCATCAGGCTGTTGCCCAGCCCGACGCTCTTTTTGGATTTGGCGAGCACCATATTTGCAGTCAAAAGTGTGTTTTGTGTGGTTGTGGTGGGTGTTCGTGACCCGATAGAGGGGTGAGTGGAAAGAGAAAGTTGCGACGGGAGTTGCCCCACCACGTCATTCACCGGCTGCCCTCGCCTAAATTATTTTTCTGAGCGCCCGACACGCCAAAAGACCCTTTGTAAGCGCTTTCCCCAGACTTCCACTGCAACCAACAACTCGCCACTGCCTTGAACATCATTGGGACGAGTCGCACAACCCGCCAAGATGCCTCGCCGAAAGTTCATGTAAGGAGAGAAATTTGGGTGCGCAATCGAAAAAGTACCCCGCTAACCCCGCGACAGCGATAAGAAGAACGCGACAAACTTTCGTCTCGTCCACCGCGCCCAAAATGACCCGCGGATCCACGACGAAGATGCCCCGCAGATGGTCTTCGCTGAGACCAGCGCACCCAACCAGCGCGAAGAGGACCAGCCCGCCGGAAGTTCACGTGCGTCGCAATACTCGTCCGTGACAGGACGTAGCGCAATCAAGTCAAGGCGCGACCTGGAAAGCGAATATGGCGACAAAGTACGGAAAAACGAGGGTGAAGCGGCCAACTATGGCATCTACTACGACGACAGCAAATACGACTACATGCAACACATGCGCGACCTGGGCTCCGGCGGCGGCGACGCATACTTTGTCGAGGCCAAAGCCGAGAAGAAGGGAAAGCAGAAGATGGATTTGGCCGACATGCTGCGCGACGCCTCGCTGAGCGACAGCAGAAGCCAGGCCGACCTCAGCGTGAGCAGCAACATCAGCAGTGTGAGCGACTTCTTCGGCGAAGACATGGCACCCTCAGAGTTCGTCCGCAAAACCACGTACCAAGACCAACAAAACATCCCCGACGCCCTCAGAGGATTCCAGCCAGACATGGACCCGCGCCTCCGCGAAGTACTGGAAGCGCTCGAAGACGAAGCCTACGTCGAAGACGACGAAGACATCTTCAACGACCTAACCCAAGACGGCTACGAAGTCGACCAACGAGAATTCGAGTTCACAGACTTTGACAACGCGGGAGACGACGACAGAAACCCCATGGACCGTTTCCTCGACGGCGACGACGACGCAGGCTGGGAATCCGACGACACAGTCAAAGCGCCTTCTCCCAGACAAAAGCCCGCCAGTGGCGAGATGCCCGCGCCAGACGAAGCACCCGCCCCAGCCGACGCGGCCGACCTCGCCTACCTAGACGAATTCAAGAAATTCAAACAAGACGTCAAAGCCGCCAAACCCCAGAACAACAACGATGCCGCCAACAGAGGAGGCATCCCCGATAACCAGTCCTTTATAACAGGCGCTTCAGGCCTAACTTCAGGCGGCCGCCACAAGAAGCGAAAGGGCGCAAAGACATCTACATCTGGCTACTCCATGTCTAGTTCTGCGCTCCACAGGACCGAAGGACTTACCTTGCTGGACCAGCGCTTCGACAAGATTGAAGAAGAGTATGCTGACGATGGGTTTGGAAATTACGATGACATGCCTGATGATGCGTCCATGGTCAGTGGAATGAGCAAGATGAGCAAAATGTCCGGTATGAGTGGTATGAGCGGGTGGTCTAGTTCAGAGGCACCTCCGCTGCGTAGCGATTTCGATAGCATCATGGATGATTTCTTGGGCAACCATCATAGTGTAGGTAAGAGTGGACGTAGGGTTAAGAAGGGTAAGCAGCAGAGTGGGCTGGAGCAATTGGAGGAGGTGAGGAGGGGGCTTGGGGCGCCGAGGGTGAAGCCGCAGGATAAGTTTAGTGTGTTGAGGGCGTGAGGTGTGGGATTTGAGCTAGCTGTTGGTGACTTGTTTTTTCTTTTCGTGTTGAGAAGGATGATATGATGGGTTATGAATGTATGCATTTGTTGGCGTTTAAGGGGGGATCGGGAAAAAGGGAATAAGGATTAGACAAAGGCTGGGATCATGTTATACCCATATCACAAGTACACAGTGGAATGAGAATCTAGACTTGACGTTCATAACTTCATTCGTTGATATCGTTCATGTCATGACTGCTCTCGCATGTCCAATCACATCATCCTCAATCTCCCTCACACCAAACCATCCCTTTCCCCCTCACCTCCTCTCTCTACCTGCACAGTATCTCAGCCTAAGCCTTAGGCTCAACACTTGCGCCCGCAACACCCCTCTGAAGCGTCTTCTTGCTAACCAGCCTGAACCCACCTACAAGCATAAGCAGGGCCAAGCTACCCAGCACAACTGCCAACGTAACAAACGCACCAATAACACCACCAATAGCAGGTGAGATATCGCTTCCACTACCACCGCTCTGCTGCGAAGCGCTCGCATCACCGTTGTTAACAAACGCCGCGCAAGAACCCGCCGTGTTACCACACTTGCCACACCACTGCTCGGTAGAGCTAATAGCAAACTCCTTGAGCTTATTCTGGAAAGTAGACCAAGATACAGCGTTATCGCTGCCGCCAAAGAGAGGGTACACAGCCGGCTCGCTCGCATTGCTCGCCGTGCCATTGTGGAACAGGAATCGTACTTGCAGGTCGTCTCCGCTGGGGAATCCAGAGTCGACGTTGGCGTTGGTGAAGAGCTCAAAGACCATGGAGCTCGCGTAGTCGACGACGCCGGTGAAGTCGTCAGACACCTTGGGCAGGTCTGCGAGACCGAAGAAAGACATGAAGGTGGCGTAGGCGCCGAATTGGATGCCGAATTTCTTGGCGCCAGAGGTGCTGATGATGTTGTTCATGTAAGAGAGGACTTCTCCGGCGAGTTGCATACCGGCGACTGCGCGCATGTTGTCGCTGACGTTGTAGGCAAGACCCCATTCGTGGGCGTTGGCGAGGGTAGCGATTTGGTGGAGCGTGGTGTTGGTCAAGGCGTCGTTGTTGGGGATGGAGCTGTTGTGGATCTCAGCTACGTGGATGGTGTCGTAGACTGTGGTTACATGTTAGTTTGGGGTATGAATCGACAAAGGCCTTGGTGAAGACATACCGACGTAGGCGTTCTTGAACGTTACCTGATCATCGGCCATGACGCCATTGATGGAGGGAATGAGGGATGCGTAGAAGTCACCAGTGCTGGACGCAAGGTTCTTGTAGTCTGCACTGTCAAAGTAGGAGTTTGAGCTCGTCTTTGCGTTTTGGCAGCTCGATGCATCTTGCAGCCAGCCGCTGTCCTCAGAGCCAGAACCCGTCTCGATGGTGTTGACGGGGATGAGCTGGTAGCCATCCATTGGCGCCTGCACGCTCTGGCCGTTGGCAAGTGTTGAGACAGTCTGGACCGGGGGGTACAGTCCCTGGAGGAAACCCATGGCTGAGTTCTGAAGGACATTGTCCACAGGTGCTTGGACCTGGAGCTGAGACAGCTTGACCTCATCCTCATTGATACCGCGGATCTTGGAGTCGCCAGAGAGGTAGCGTGAGCGGTAGTACTGGCCGGATGTGTAAACCTGCTCGTAACCGAGGGTAGTCAGGTTGGTGGGAGCAAGGGCCTTTGGAGTACGGTCACCATGGCGGTGGAAGATATAAGCTCCAAGAACGGTCTCAGCTGCCTCGGCGCCAGCGAGCATGGACAGAGCAGAAAGAGCAACAACAGACTTCATGGTGGGCAATTGATGTGAAAGCTTGTCAACGAAGGAAGCTATTCACAAGAGCGAATGGAGCAAAACGAACCCAGTACAAAGCGGCGAAACTCACGAGGCAGAGGTGGGATGGAGAAAGCAGTAAACAGCGGACGTCAAGGCATGACTTATACCAGCTATCTTCGCTGCATGCCCCGCTGAGTAAAGGAAATCAGCTCCGGAGTAAACAATAGCAGCTAGATAGCAAGAGTAATCACGTCCAATCCGAACAATCTCCAGCCCATGGCATAGCGGGGCACACGCATCGTGCTTTCCGAATCTCGCAGCGGGGGAGGGGCGGGTAGTAAGGGGGGGTTAGAGCGACCCACCCGCCGTGACAAGCTTTTTCCGCGCAACAGGCATCTCTGACCAAGAGCAACAGTCTGCGTGAATAAGTAACAGTCAGAATGACGGTGGCTTATTCACCCCTCGCTGCCGTACAATATCTCGCAGACGCCGCCGATTGGTACATCCATTACAGCGTCTGTCCCCGTGCTCCAGAACGCTTTCCAATCCACTTCTTCCGACGCGCTAAACTGATATGCCGAAAAAGAGCTTCGTCGACTGGGTGGTGCACTCGCTCTAGTACCTTTTTCCTTGTCTTTGTCGTGAAGTTTGTCGGTTACCAGCACCGGATCGCGTGCGATTTGCCCAGTCATGCGATCGACAACGGCTATCTGCGCGCATTCATCCACGAGGTTCTCGCAGCTGCTTAGCGGCAGGGTGAGGTAGCGCGTGTTGTAGCTTGCTAGTGCAACATAGATGTATATGACTAGCACGACCAGCCAGCACGGCACTGCGAGCGCCCACCACCGGTTAGGGTAGTAGTGAATTCCCATCTGATGCAGCATGGGAGCTGGCACGTAGGCCCAGAGGATGTACATAAGGAAAGCAGCAGAGCTGCCTAGGTACAGGGCAAAGCCGTAATATTCGTACGTAGGTACTTTCGGCGAGGCCCGGGGTACGGTCGGAGCATGCCGTGCCGAACTAGCGAGGTTCGTAGGTGTGCTTGTGCCTGTTGTATGCGAGCCTGCTCTTGTGTATCCTTCTACGTCGGACGAGTCTGGTGTCGTAGGCCTCGAGGTTGGGCGGCTGAACGCGGGGCGCAGGAGCGATGTCAACGAGGGTGACGGCGGGAGAGGCGTAGGCGGCCTGTTGTAGAAGGGCGGAAAGAGTGCAGTCGCGGTATGTTGAGGAAGGTGACTGTACGATTTAGATGTGTACAACGGCCGAGATGTAGGCGGTGGCTCCTCGTCGTCCTCTTCGTCCTCGCTCGCTATATCCTCTACCGCGAACGAGTCTTCGTCTTCATCCTGATTGTCCTCTACAGACGCTGCCTCGGAGAGAGCGCTGTTCGATATCGGCGACAAGGGACTTGCTCCTGGTCGGGTTGCGGAGCGTGGAGGGGATGCCACAGTGTGGTCATCGCGACTTTGCCCATCGAATGACCCTAAAGTAGGTAGGTTAGGCGTCGATTTGGAGTAGAACCCCGAAGGAGCAGAGTCCCCTCTACTATGGGGCGGCATGTCGTTAAGGTGTAGTTTGGCGCGAAGTCCAGACGTACCTCATGCACTTATCGCGTGCTTGAGCCTCTCAATTACGCGTTCGCGCTAGCGGAACGGTTCCGCATCAATCTGCCTAATGGCATCTCACAATGTTTGAGGTCTGATACTAACTGCAGTATTATTTAGTACGAACAAGAACATCACGTGCGTGTAAAGAGTCCTGTAGTGTATATCTGGCTCAAAGTCTCTATGGCTTGATGGTTATCATGAGGCTATTCTGGCCTGTATTTCGCATCGTCATACCCTGATAGTAGACACCAGTATCTCAGAACTTCTAAGTCAACGACTAAGGAAAGCCCGATAGGAACATTTTTCTGGGTTTACTAGCTTTGTCGCTGTCACGATTTGAGACGAAGACATGAACGAGTCTGTGAGCCAAATGCGTCATTACAGCAGAGATGAAATGTCAGAAAGGGGTGTAGTACATGGAAACGTACCTATTCTGCGCTAAACAGGATCATCAAGAGGCTTACCGTCGATCAGCTTGTCAAGGGATATGATTCGCGTATTATGTTCGTAAACTCGACGCTTGGTATTGCTCTTGACCGAGCGGCATCAGCTATATATTCCTTGGCGCTTGGCCAGGAAAAGTCCAACTGCAGCTTGTCATCCTACCCTTGACTACGGCGTTTTCGAGTTTCTCTTCGCAAAACTCGCGACACTGCATGACATCATTGTTAAGATACCCGTCCAGAGAGCTAACAATCTTCCAGTATGTTAGCGCTTACCTTGTTTACGGCCCTCATATCCACCGTGCTGCTCAACGGCAGTGTCTCAACTCACTCCAGTCATGTTTAGCAAAATGGCACCTGCATCTCCGGAGGAAACTCTTAAGCATGCTAGTATGAGCCTCATTCGGCACTCCACCTTGTCTTGGCCCGCCGAATACTGCCATTGTCGTCTGGAGTGTTGTCTTCCAGTATTTTACGGGCAATTGGAATTGTTTCGGCGACCCCTTCTTGGTACAACTCTGCTGCTTCGGGGGCTCAGCCACTGCGCTCCGAGTCAGAGTCTCCATCGCCAATCCTTTACTGTTGGAAACTTCAGCATGTCGAATGGCAAAGTCTCTACAGACAACACAATCCACATTATTGGAGCGTCTGACTTTGTCGTAGCTATCGAATCCAGCTGGTTTCATCTTGTCTTGTTCAGTTTTTGTTCTACCTCAAAGAGCTTGGTTGGACAGTTAGGTACCACGCTAACATCGCTGCCTGACTAACAAGAGGGTACTGTCGCCTTTAGATCTTACCACTACCCAAGAAGCGCCGCGACGGTCTAACCGCTAGCTAATCTCATATTGTTTCCTCTTTTGATCACCATCGTATCGCGAATCTGTAAAGGATAGGAGAGACGATCTGCCTAGGGATAAACGTTATCCCAGAAGTGGTCAGAATGTCGATCAGTACCCTGACCAGTAAGGAGGATAACGCCCGGCCTGACTTCGGCTTAGTCATTGCCTAGACCGAACTGCTACTGCTTACAACGCTTGTTCTCAACTTGGCCTTCTATCCAGACTTCGTTAGCTGGCCAAGTTCAAGGAGAAGTTGGGCGGGCTTATGGTGGAAGGAAATGTGCTTGGGGACAACACTTTCAGGGTTACGTTGTGACCGAGCATTGCCCTTTAGGAGCAGTACGTATACGAGATGATGGAAGATTACAGACGACCATTGTCATAGCTTTCTGTCAGTTCTAAGTAAAAGACAGTTGTAGTGGTGAGTTGGTAATGAAGTCTAGCAATAGGCTATACCATGAGATGGCCATTTCTGAGAGATCTTACGAGATGCCATATATCTCGGCCAATCGCGTACGATGACTTCAGAATGAGGCTCGAGGTCCTGTTGTCTGAGTGCTTGGCTTGTAAGAAAAGAAGACCCACACACAAGTAGCTACACCGCGATGTTGCACGGTATATCTCGCAGTACGCCGACGGAGATTCACTCGGTGCTGATCGCAACAGTACACAACTTATCCGACACAGTATATACCTCATACAACTTACCCGACACGGTATAGACTCATACATCTTGTGAACAGTATAAGTATCACGGTCATAGTCACTCAGTTCCTAATCAGCACCTTCTACATCATCATCTTCAGCCAACACTCTACTATCTTCACTTCATCCAAAGTATTCTCATACTTTCAGCCATCATGCAATTCTCCAAGATCAGCTGCTTGAGCGTTCTCGCTCTTGCGTCTTCGGCCATGGCCGCCGCTGACCCTGTCGTAAACGTCGAGGGATCGGTCGAGGTTGTCCCAGTGAGAAAGACCAGCTGAAGATAATGGGTATTGCATAAGCTAACTTGCAAGAAGGATGTGGTTGAGAAGCGACTTGCTCCTATCGCCATTGCGCTCATCAAGGTCATCGGCGGACAGCTTCTTGCAGGTGCTGCTAAGATCGCAGTCGATGCGACCAAGGCCCACCTGGAGGTTGAGAAGGCCGACTTCAACAACTTCGATGACGTAGGTCGATGCCAAATATTTTTTTGAATCTTGCTGACAACTCGCACTAGGCTCGTGAGGCTTTCACGAAATCATTGAGCAAGGATCTCTACGAGAAGAGAGTAGCTGGCGTGAAGGGTGTAGCTTGCTACAACGGCCCCTATGCTTTCAGCTCAGGTGCCTCGTACGAGGGCCCCATTACTGTCAAGTTCGAGTGGGACATGTACAACACCGAGTAAGTCTAGTGCTCTTTTGCTAGCCGAAGGAATCCCTTTCTAACAGTTCTCTACTAGCTACGACTGCTTCGAGATCAAATCCGGTACTGCAATCAACAAGGGTGATGGAGGATTCATCAACGTAAGTTTCAACTCAAATTCATATCAGACTTCGATACTAAGCTGTTATTAGATTGCCTACTACGGTCAATGCCAGCATGCTGGTGCTGAATACCGCTGCTAAGTGCATTCTTGCTTGAATCACCTTTTAGGTGGTACCAGCAGCGGAAATCACAGGGAGTAGAGAGACTATAGTTCAGTTCAAGCGTCGGGGTTAAACTCAGAAGCTCTTATGTTTCTATATCTTAAGAGCGGACAGTATAATGTTACAGTGTAGTCATTTCCAACCATGTCCCAGAATACAAATGAATGACCGCTATCGTATACATCAGGCTCCCGAGGCTGACTTGGAAGCGGTTTTACCCACTTGTGGAGTGGAGTTATTTCACAAGGAATGAGGTTTGCGCCGCTCCTGATTAGGTCTAGCGTAGATCCAGCACACGCTTATCACCCGAGCTGAGTTCTAGGAAAGCAGCTCTTTGACACTTATCAAGCAACAACAGCAACCTCGAAGAACCGCGGCAAGTCCATCATCTAGTAGAAGGGCCGTCTGTTCAACGGGAATCTACACTGCGCGCTATTGTGGTGGCCGATGCGATCGAAGATGTGCGCGCCACGTCCACTGGTACTGGATTCACGCAGAGCGCCGCGTTGCTCCCGATTTTCGCAACGCGAGGGATGCCTATGCAGTACTATGCAGCGCACGAGGGACATGGCGAGCGAAATGGCCACATGAATGGAGCCTTCGACATGGTCATCTGTAATGTGTATCTTCCCAAGGAGTTAGTGTAGTGCTCGAAGAGTCCGATTCACATACCTACTTCTCGTCGCCCAAGTTCCGCGATCCGCAAAGTGAGCATCCCTCTGGACGAGGATCAATGCCACAAGTGTATACTCCCTTCTGATCCAAACATATTGCGATGATTGTGGTTGAGATACTACCGGTGTCTCCTCCACATCCAACCGAGCTGTCTCTGTCAGTATGATCACTCTCACGGTCCACTGGGGTAGGTACTTACGCTGCTTCTTAGCGCGCAGTCGTCTCTGGCGGAGCATATGTGCAGCGACCAGGATAAATATAGGCGTGCAGCTTGCGAGAAGAGCAAGCACGGAAATCGTGTTGTCTTTCGACCAGGTCATCGTCAGGTGTGCGGGTTTTTCGAGGTCGCCAAGTTAGACAGGATTGCCGGTCTGCTGGTTCACAGCGGTCTGTCGCGTCAAACATATCTACTGACAGAAAAGCAGATTTCCAAGAGAGGATTCCAGTTCAGATTCGGAGATTGCTATCAGGATTCCGAAATTTCGAGATTTCCGTCCGGTGTCGTTGAGGCTTGGTCGTTTAGAATCAGAATCCTAATCCAGATTTGAGCGACGCTGCTGAGGAAAACAGACTCTATCCACAAATGCGCCAAGTGAAACTAATGCGCTGGCAAGATATTGAGATTTGAGCCTCGCATCATGAACGAGTGACGCTAAGAATTTCGGATTCCGATTCAGGTGAGGTCAAGCGTGGAGAAATCTGATTTGAGCGAGGCTGAGCATGCTGAAATCAGATTTCGGTGGGCGCAGTCGTGACGATCACGACGGATCAGCCACACGAGTAGGCTTCAGATCAGATTTCGCTTCATGGAGTTGCATACAGTCGTAAGCACTCTAGGCTGTTTTGGGTCAGCATGCATGAGTTGGGTGGCTGAATTCAGATTACGAACGCCACCTGGGCAGTGACATCACGTGCGTTCCTACAACAGACGCAGGTGCCCCGCCTTCAGCCTGATGCCAAACATTACCTCCTTACTGACATCGATAGCTCTGCTCATGTGGATGTCTCTACTTACATCAAGACCTTTCCGTCTGCTTCACAAATTCCCTTGTCCAACGTAGCAATGACGGAGAACAGATACTCACAACGTATCCCGAGGCGGACGTGGGACATACACAAACACAACATCCTGCGATTATACCTCTTGGAGAACAGGCCGCTGAACGCAGTCAAGGATATGATGCACTCTGAATACGGGTTCTCGGCAACGTAAGTGCATGGCAAAACAACGAGTAGCCACTTATCAATCACGAAGGGTATGTATTAACTTACAGATAGCAAATCCCAGTACGAGACAAGGCTGAAGAAATGGAGTTGCTACAAATATGCAGCTGCACATGATCGCCGTACTAAAGCACCAGTCCTTGACAACCAGGGAGCGGAAGGTTTAGTAAGAGAAGGATACACACAAGGGCCTGATAGCGACGCGCCCACTGAGAGTAAGAGCTCAGATACTCCCAAATACTGCGTGTTATTAACCGTTCTATATAGCGCATTCGAATCCACAGAACATTCCGATCCGAGTCTCTTCTCCACACCACACCACTCTAAAGCCATCTCCACTAAGTCATCTTCCTCCCAGGATCTCATCCTCGGCCTCACTCGATGATTTACTCAATGTCCCATCTTTCTCCATGAATAGTGTCAATCTTCAATCTTCTACATCACATTGCGAACTTGAATCACTCGTCTCCCAGGACCCCACATGGACCTCGAAAACAGCCGTCGCTGCAAATGGTCTGTTTCATTCCGCGTTGCACATGAACATCGACGTAGACACCAGCTCAGCGTCATCAGTAAACTCACACGATATGGAGCTACCTGGAGACTTGGGCAGTCTGTCTTTCTCTTCAAGCATAATGTATGCTCGTGGTTTCATGGGGCAGAACGATATTAGGTCCTCAAACTCGAACATCTTCCTGGACGACTCCTCACTACGCGAAACAATTTATCAAGGCGGATTCTCTATACCTGATTTCGCAACCTCAATGTTTCCAGTCATTTCGCGTATGTTTCCGAGAGCAGTAGCTTCCCCTCGTCTAGTCATACTTGGCAACAACAGTACATTTGAATCTGCACTCAGAAACATGGCCGGTCCCAGTACGTTGCAGCTTGTTCGCCAGCAGAGCATGGATCATCAGATCATTTACATGATCTTTCATCGACTAATTAATGATAGCGATGCTTTCCAGGTACTCGATGAACCGAAGACGGAGCTTGATCAAGTTTTCAAGACGGGCATATCATATTGCTTCTCTCTTGGAAACCGCGTCCTTCGCGGTCTTATAGATTCTACCCCGTCACCTTACGACCTAGCTTTGATGCAAAACATCTTCCGCGCAGCGCTAGTCCTGAGTAATGAGCGCATCTTGAGTTACGTTTTGGACATGCATCAAGCGAGTCTCGCCAACCAACCCTTTTTCATCGGAGACTTCGAGTACTATCCATTGGAGTACGCGGCTTCTAAAGGGCACATTAAAGCAACAAAAGCGCTTCTCGAACACGGCGCTGATCCAAATCGGCAAACAAGCGACTACGGATATCTAAACAGGATTCTAGGAATACCATGGGAACAAAAAGATCGTCAAGTAGGAGTCCAAATTCTTCGACTCTTGATTGACCACGGTCTGGAGTCCAACCCTCGCGAACTCAGAAGAAGAATAGGTGTTGCCAGCAGAGATGAATTGTCAATATTAGTTACTCACTGCTTGGACAAAAGTTTCCCAACTTTCTTTCACTGCTACGGTTTAACACTGCTTCTACTCGAACGAGAGTGGGAAGATCCATTATCCAAGACACTGGAAGTCATTCTGAACCAAGCCTTCTTGCAAATCGATGGTCAGAAAGCGATTTGGGACTCAGTATTGTCAATCTCCCTTTCTGCTGCAATACTACTCAGCCGCGCGTCAGCAGTGAATGTACTGCTTTCGATGGGTGCAGCTCCAGACACACACTGCTTGATCAGTGCTGCTCAGGTTAATGATGTGCAGCTGCTCAAGGAATTCTTGAGCCGTGGTCTGGACCCCAACGTCAAAGTGCCGGTAGTGAGTCATAATTACGAAGTGCCTCATGCAAATATGTGGCGTCGGGACTCAGATAGCACTGCGCTTAGTGAGTCTATTGTGAAACGCTCCTCTGGAGCGTTCCTAGTACTTCACGAGCGAGGATTTGTCTCAAGTCTATCTCATCAACCGACCGCATTTGCCACGGCCTTCGTAGCAGCGTGTCAGGTTGGCGACAGCATTCTGCTTGATGAACTTCTTTCATTGCCAAACTTCCCACGGAGGCAGGAGAAGCTAGGACAAGCCATCCAGGGTGCCATTAACGGAGATCAATATCATATTATCGAGAAGCTCCTGTCTGTGGGAATGAAGCCGAACATAGAAAGTTTGGACCTAGCAATCCAGAAAAGAAAGCTGCCAACTGTTATCCTCTTGGCCAGATACATGGGCAATTCTTTATCTCGAGGAATGCAACAGGGCATACACAAAACTACAGCACTCTTCCAAGCTATACGATGGGGTGACCAGACAGCTAGCGAGCACGTACTCAAGATCGGGCACCCTGTCAACGTGTGCGATGTAATGCGGGGCGACGGGCTCAAGGACTGGGACTTATTGCCAGAAGTCCTAGCGCTAGCGCCTAACCTAGATGGACTCTGGCGATATACTCCTCTGAGTGCTGCCATCTTAACCAGAAACAGTACCGCAGTGAAAGCTTTGATGGCTTACGGTGTGCAGTCTGTGTTGTTCAGCGCACATCACACATCTCAAGAACACGTCTCAACACAACATCCAGCTTACGAGAGAGAGGTATGGATTTTGACCCCGCTGGCTGCTGCTGTCGTCGTAAACGACCTTCATTTGATAAGAGAGATCTTGCGCATGGGAGCAGATCCCTTTGATAACAGCGCTCTTTTCTCATGCGCTATGGTTGACTGTCGAGATGAGGTCATCGCATTGCTGCTTTCTGCTTTTAGGACACGATATCCAGATGGAGCGCGATCTTTCGGGTCGGACGCACTATACCAGACCGTAAGACGTGGCAATATGCAGTTGCTCCAGCTACTTGCTAAAGATGTTGACCTCATTGGACGAGTCGAGAAATATCGCGAACCCATTGATCGGAGATCTGTTCGGTTGAAAGATACCGCGTACACCAGTCCACTGGCTGAGGCAGTACGTCGCTATAATGACAGCGATAGTGCTGGCGCTATGCTCGACCATCTTCTGCCCCTAGTTCGGAATCACGATGCTGTTATACACAAATCATACAAGCATGGTGTCATGACTCCTCTACTCTACGCGATCTCTCTGGGTTCATTGGCAACCGTCCGGAAGTTGCATCAGACTGGCGCAAACATATCCTTACCAGCCGAATGGCTAATCGATCGAACACCACTACAAGCAGCATCAGCAGCCGGAAGCAAAGACATCGTCGAATACCTCCTTCGTGAAGGCGCCGACCCGAATGAACCTCCAGCAGACCACGCCGGAGCAACAGCCATCCAACTAGCCGCAATTACAGGGAAAATTGGCGTAGCGACGGTTCTACTGGATGCTAGAGCTGACATCAACGCACCACCAGCCTTTTGCGACGGCAGAACCGCCTTCGAGGGGGCTACAGAAAATGGACGTATTGAGATGATGATCTTTCTCGTCAGTCGAGGCGCAGATCTTCTCTCGCATGGGAGTATACAATATCGAAGAGCTGTCGAGTTTGCAGAGGACAATGCACAGCATGCTGCAAGAAAGCTCGCGGATGAGCTGTACAAACAGGTCTTAGCGAGCCAGGTAACAGGTTCCATTGATATGGGTAGGGACGCATGGGCTGGCCCCGACATGGGCAGCTATAGAGATTTCCTCTCGTGAAGATATTCATAGTTATTCCTTCATGTTCTCATCAGTGTTTCTTAGTCTACAAGAGTATAGAATTGCTCTTGGACCTTCGTGAAGAGTTCTGATTCGTATGGCAAAGTTCATTGGTCTTTCCCTTGGGGAACGACTGATGGAAAGGGTTTTGTTTTGTTTCACAGTGTTCTTTTAGTCAAAGACCTTCCGTTCCGAGCAACGTCATGTAAATCAAGCATCATCATCATGTGAATACCCATCACAAACGATACCCACAGATCTTGGTAGATGGGACAAAATGCTATTGTCACGAATCTATACTTAACTAACTAGCCATCTACAGCTTACTCGCCTCCCCACTCGTCCTGTTAAGATACAACGGATCCCTCGGCTCAATACCATACTTCCTGCACAACTCCTCACCCTTCTTCTGCTGCGCCTCAATCCTCTGCTTATGCGCCAACCCCCTCTTATTCTCATTCTTACCCAACTGCAGCAAATGCACCTCATCCGGCCCATCCACAATCCTCATCGTACGACCACTCGACCACATCTGCGCGAGCGGCGTATCCTGACTAACACCCGCACCACCGTAAGCCTGCATCGCCCAGTCGATGACCTTGAGGTTGACTTCGGGGACAAGGACCTTGACTTCGGCAATCTCCTTGAGCGCGCCCTTTGCATTCGTCTCGTCAATCTTGATAGCGGCGTTCAAGACGGCAAGACGCGCAGCATCGATTTCGATGCGTGAGCGGGCGACGCGCTCGAGCATGATGCCGTGCTTGTTGAGCAGCTGGCCAAACGGCTTCTTGCGCTCGTCGTTGATGCGCGCCAGGAACCATTCTAGCGCCTTCTCGGCAGATCCAATGCTGCGCATGGCGTGGTGGATACGGCCGGGTCCGAGACGGCCTTGAATGATTTCGAAACCGCGGCCCTCGCCGAGCACCATGTTGCTGGCGGGGACACGGACGTTCTCAAAGGTAACGTGGCCGTGGCCGTGGGGCGCGTCGTCGAAACCCATGACTGAGAGCATGCGGTGGATCGTCACACCGGGGGTGTCGTTGGAGACGAGGATGACGGATTGCTGCTTGTATTTGTCGGGGTTGTTGGGGTCCGTCTTTCCGAGGACGATGAAGATCTTGCAGCGAGGGTCGCCAATGCCTGATGACCACCATTTCTGGAGAGGTGTTAGTGGGGTGGAGGATGGGGTGGGTTGAATGCAGACTAACCTGGCCGTTCAAGACGTAATGGTCGCCGTCCTTCTTGATGGTCATCTCAATGTTGGTAGCATCACTCGACGCAACCTGAGGCTCCGTCATCAAGAACGCAGACCTGATCTTGCCCTGGAGCAGCGGGTCCAGCCACTTCCTCTTCTGTGCCTCGGTACCGTACTTGGCAATGACCTCCATGTTGCCGGTATCAGGAGCAGCGCAGTTGACAGCCTCAGACGCTGTCCGGCTCTTGCCCAGGTACTCAGCCATGAGTCCGTACTCCAAGTTACTGAAACCAGCACCCTCCTTGAAGTGTGCTTTCGGCAGGAACATGTTCCACAGTCCGAGTTCTTGTGCCCGCTTCTTCAAGTCCTCGATTATGGATGGATGTGACGAAAAGCGCTCTTGGACCGTCTGGCCGATCTGGCGCACGTAAACAGCGTCGGCGGGGATGCATTCTTCCTCGACAAACTTCTCTACCTATGCAGACGTTAGTATACCGTGTGGCGTAGCTTGTAGGGCATCTCACAATATCGAGAGTCTTCGCCGCTCTCTCGCTGACGAATGGCCGCGCGATGGCGGGAATGCGCTGAGAGGCGGAGACATGGCCATTCTGGCTGTTGCTCAGCAAGTCCATGGCGCGGTCGTACGGTACAGACATGATTGCTGTCTGTAAGAGAGAGTATGAGGTATGGAGGAAGTTCAGGGAGGAAATCCGGGGTAGTTTAACAAAAGATGCGGAGACGAGTCGTCCATGGCTACTGCTTCGGTCATTGACGTTGGGGAGCTAAGAGTTGCCGAGGTACGATCTGGAACATCTCCGCTTTGGACCTCGTAATCAGCCAGACTCACACCACGAAGGCATGATACTTTGCCGATGGGAAATGCACTCCAGGGAAACATGTCGTTGGCCGAGGCATTGATGGAGTGATGGTGTTGAAGATGTTGCAGTTGTACTTGGCGATGGGTGCGCCATGAACGCGACGCCGCCGTTACGCGTGGCGCGCTTTGTTCAACCTCCCAACGAGACGTGAAGCCTTATATATATATATGTA